TGTATGTATGTATATCTGTCATAGTGTGTGCGTGTGGGAAGTAGGACTCACGTATTCGTTGATTTGCTCCAGTTTGAAACCGGAGTACTGTTCAATGACGCACTGGGCCCTCTTCCGGAACGCCTCGATGGTCTTGTCATCCCACCACAGTTTGATGTTGCCGTTCTTGTCGTACTGGCGACCTGTTGGCAGTTTTATTTATACATAAATATATTATATTTTAATTGATCCTAGATGGGAAATTTGGTTTACAATGGCAAACATACATAAATACATAAAATTATCCATACATAAGAACATACACATATTTGATCTTTTATCCGCCGCTTATACAATTTGGGTGTCGCGGGAAGAAAGAGACGTCTCTTTGCCATCAGCCGGAGAGCTTGGGTTAGGGGGATGCCTTAAGTTGTTAGTGTTTTTCTGACTCCATCCATCTTTCTCGGTTACCCTCTAGCCTTGCTGTCATTGAATATTTTTATGTTGGCACGTAGTGCTAGATGGTGTGTTGGTAATGGCATGAGATGTCAAAACCATTGGATTCTTTGGTGTTGGATGTGATACATGACATCATTTGTGCCCATCATTTCTCTGACTACTGAGTTTTTAATTTTATCTCGCTTGGTCTTGTTTACCGCTTTTCTAAGACATCGCATTTAATATGCTGTAATTCTTTGCTTCAATGTCTTGTTCGTGGTCCATGTTTGACATTGATAGGTGAGTGTTGGGGTGGATATGGTGTTGATCATTTTGAATTTTGTTCTCAAGGGGATGTTAGGATGTTTCATTAGTGGAGCAAGTTGGTAACTAACAGTATTGAACTTTTGTACATGTGTTTCAATTTCTCAGTTCAGTGGCCCATCCTCTGTTAATATACTTCCGAGGTTATTAAATTATTGGACCTGTCTGAGACTGTTGTTGTGGATGTGTATCCTGAGTGGTCCTGGATTTCTTTTACTTTTATTGCCTCCTTTTTCTAGATGTTGACCTACATGTCGTAGTTGTTACATTCTTCGTTTAATCCGGTAGTGTGGTCTTGAAGACTTTGTTCATCTTTGTGTACCAGGCTTTGGTCGAAGAGTAATTCATTTAGAGCGTCTGGTTCAGTGTTGGCCTCTTTTGTAATTCTATCCATATATATATGATAATTAGTAGTGGTGATAGGACATTACCTTGTCTTACTCCGGATGTCATCTCGAACCATTCTCTGAGTCCCTCTGACGTTCTTACTGTACTTACGCTGTTCTCGTAAATGGCACAGATGTTATACATGTATAGAAGTTGGCCTCTTACAGAGTAGTTTTCGAGTTCTTTCCACAGCTTGTTTCTGTTCACTCTGTTGAACGCTTTCTCCTAGTCGGCAAATATTATGTTTAGTTCCCTGTTGTGTTCTATTGCCCTTTCGCACATATTTCGAAGGGCGAATATTGCAGTACATATACATATATATACATACATAAAATAAATGTAATATACAATATTACACTGAAACAGAACAATGTCACAATCACGCCATTGCTGGTCGCCACTGCGCAGCGCCCCCTTTTAAGTTGTGGTCGCCGTGTCTTGCTCAAGAACACATCCCAGTGGCCACCCACTTAAACTCCGTGTCATCGACACTTGCTTGACATTACTTTTGAACCTGAACTCATTAGTCACCTAGCCACTGGATCCTCTTGTTAGTAATTGTTTTACGGCCTTTCCAACACAAATAAGTGATACAAGTGCTGAAGAACAGAGGTGTTACTAGAAAGTAACATACAAAGAAAAGAAGGAGGAGAGATAAGGACAAAATATGTTTGATAGGAAAGAAGGAGAGGAAACCACACCAGAGCACTCGCCAACCACCAGAGATGAAATAGTAAAAATCTGCTTGAGCCCTCTTTTCGTAACTAACTGGACCTATTAGGCTAGTGCTCGTCAAACTGGGAGGTGTCACCTACTAGTGGACCATTCGATAGTTTTCGTAAGAGGTGGGGATCACACAGGTAGAGATAGGTGTCATTTTATGCCCCGCTTGGAAATACGACATGTAAGTGGGCGGTATGAAAATACTAGATTTTCTAATCTCATAAAGGTGGAAAAAGTGGGCGCTGGCTGTAAAAAGATTGCAAGCACTTGACTAGCGAGAGAGAGAGAAGAGAGAGAGAGAGAGAGAGAGAGAGAGAGAGAGAGAGAGAGAGAGAGAGAGAGAGACAGAGTGAAAGAAAGAGAAAGGGGAGAGAGAAAAAGAGATAGAGAAAGAGAGAGAGAAAGAAAGAAGGATGAAAGAGAGAAAGACAGAGAGACAGAGAGAGACAGAGAGAGAGTGAAAGAGAGAGAAAAAGAGATAGAGACAGAAAGGGAGAGAGAGAGAGAGAGAGAGAGAGAGAGAGAGAGAGAGAGAGAGAGAGAGAGAGAGAGAGTTTTACGACACGGGTTGTTTTAGCACGAGCGACATGCATAATTTACTAATGTCCTGGCTTGTTGTATGTATGCGTGAGTGCACCTAACCCACTGCTTTCGTAAACGACCAAGACAAATTTCTCCCTGCGAGATGAATATAGAGATTACCTTTGTCATTGTCACTGTAAGCCACTTTTCAAGTTGTGGTGAAAAATTATGTTTTAGATTTTTGGTTCGTTTTGTTTTGTTTGTCTGTCTGTTTGTTTGTTTGCCTGTTTGTTTGTTTCTTGTTTGGTTTTCCGTTCATTTGTTTTATTGTTTGTTTGTTTGTTGGTTTGTTTGTTTGTTGTGGCTTTTGGAAGACAAGCACTCCGTGACCAATAAAACAACAGTCTTACGCACGTTTGTTTTCTCGTTTGCTTGTCCCTGTTGTGTCGTGTTATTGTCGACTCAAGTTAGGTTCTTCGGCGTTTCATAAGTGAGCTCCATTCCCGAATGACTAATAATTAAATTTTTATCTTGTATTTTTGCCTGTTTGTTTGGGTGTTGCATTCAACTCACTCCGAGAGTTGGCCCTGCCAGCCAAGCAAGGTCAGAGTAGCCCCCCTCTCATAACTATTCAAATTATGTCGATGAAGTGGAGAAAAAAAATCAAGAAATTAAGTTTTCATTTATAAAAACAATATCTTTAGAACAAACGTTTGGGCCATTCCATGTAAAAAAAAAAAAGAAAAAAAGAAAGAAACTACAATATTGCACGTACTACGGGTTTGATGCCCTGCTTATACATTTCTAAATAGTGATAGAGCAGTTTTACTCTTCTTGTTAGAATAAAATTGAAATGGCGAGGTAAAAATTTACTTGTACCAAATTCGGATTTTATAAGTACCATAAAAATTCAAGGCCAGGAATAGCAGTGTAGGTGAATAGGGAAAAAAAGTAGGCTGTAAAAGATCAAAAGTTATATTTCTGTAAAAAGAGAATTCGTAAGTATAAAGTTCTACACCCCATCGGCACAATTGGAATCCTTTAAGAATCGGTTTGTTTCAACCCTGCCTGCCAGGACCAACCTGGGCTAAAAAGGATTCATGGTCAGAGTATACAGGTTAAGGGCCTTCCCGATTTTAGAAATCTTGGCGTGTGTGTTTGTGTGTGTGGCCGGGGGGGAGGGGTGTATAAATACAGCAAACAATAATCATGACTAAGTACAGTTTTTGTTTTGCTATCAACTTTGTACAGTGCAGTAT